TGCAGATTCACCCTCAGTTCATTTTTTTTTAAATCTAGGAAAATGCTAGAAATCCCACTAATAGCTTTAAACACCAAGCGGGAGAGAACTAACCTGGACTCCCATGTCAAGTACTTCTGGAAATTTCACAGAGACTGACTAGCCCAAGGTTGTCTGAAATACTTTTTGTAGTAGAGTGAGAAATTGAACCTGGATCTTCTGACACTCAATCCAACATCGCTGATATTAATGGTTTCATTTTTTTCGATATATAAGAAAGATTGCATTGAAGATTGAGGTGAAAATGTCTAGTCTGAGAAACAGTCGGGGGTCCCTATTAACTTTGCATATAATGGGAGATGCTATTCTACTGATATGTGAGGATTTACATTCCTGTGCTATTAATATAAATAAGAGATACTGTTTATGCATAAATGCTCAGATATTAAAGAGGAAATGTAGTCCAGAGACTGGCTTTGAGAAGATGCCAGTCTTCTTTAAAAGTTGAAGAAAGAAAACTGGCTGCTTTACGTCTCATTTAATAGCTTTTCAGCACATTCTCGGCCAATATGCCGCTAAAAAAAAATACTTTGACTTTTAAGTAATGAGAAAGGGTAATATCAGGAATAAATGAACACACTAACATGTTCAGAATGTTGATATTATATGATCCTGTCATGAGATTCATCACTGATTATACTCTATAGTATTCTTTTCATATGAAACGCTGAATCAAGTTCTCCTTTTAATATTTTGGTATCTATCCAGGGTGCTATTAAGTGTTCTTATGGCAGCTTCTTTTAATCTTGGCCAATTTTCTCATTATTACATGATTTCATTTTCTAGCATATAAATGCTTTTTGTGAGTCACAACTAAGTGCATTTTTCTATTTTTTATTTATTTATAGAATTGCTGCATTAGAGCAAGATAGTGCTCCTAGCAGGTATTGAAAAGATGTACCCCTTGGTACTTTTCTAAGGGGCTTGGGGATGGTCACCTCTGGTGCTCATTACAGCATTTCTATAACCTGCACCAGATGTGCGCAGTCTAGAAAATTCTTTGATGAGCTCAAGGGAGCCTCAGGTTGACCATCTCTGGCACGTGTTGTAACATTCCCCACAATCTACACCAGAATCACTAACCTTGAGAAATGCCTTTGTAAATTATGCAGGAGGAGGCTCCTACAGCACTCACCATAGAAGGCGCCTCGTAGCTTCATTCTAAGATGCAATAAGCTTAGAGAAGCTCCTGAAGTTGACCAAAGGAAAGCAAAATGGTGCAAGGCAATCAGGGGTGAAATGCTCGCGGTTTGGACCAGATCGCCCAATCCGGTAGCGATGGCGGTGGGTGGTTTGGAGAACTGGTAGCAAAAATCCCTGCACCCCCCCCCCAATGCCCAGCTGAGCCATGCGATCATCAGAAGCTGTTTTTTTTTACTTTTAAAAGCATTTTTTCTACAACCTCTTCGACCAAAAAAATGCTTTTAAAAGTAAAAAAAAAAAAGCCTCTGATGATTGTGTGGCTCAGCTGGGATTACCAGAGGCTTTTCAAAGCATTTTTTTCTGCAACCCCTTCAGCCGAAGAGGTTGTAGGAAAAAAAAATGCCTTTAAAAGCCTCTGGCGATCCCAGCTGACTTGCCTGATCATCAGAGGCTTCTAAAAGCATTTTTTTCTGCCACTTCTTAAGGTTGTAGAAAAAATGCTTTTAAAAATAAAAAAAGAAAAAGTTGGCCACACCCACCCAGTCACATTACACCCCCACCCCCCCACCACCACCAAGCCATGCCCACAGAACCGGTAGTAACAAATTTTAGATTTCACCCCTGAAGGCAATGAATGTCCTTCAGTCCTGAAGAAGTTCTTCAGAACTCAAGAAGCTTCTTGGATGAGAAGTGAAACATTTTCAAAGAAAAAAAACCAAGAAAGTCCAGTTGCCTTTTGAGAAAGCACCTTTCGAACAACCATGACCTTGATGTTTGAGAATTTCCATAAATAAGGCAACGAATGCTTTCTTCAATTCTTCCTCTAAATATTGATACAGCTTCATATACTTCTATTACAGTCTAATATGTTTTCATTAAAGTATTAATTCAGTCCAACTTGTATCTGTATGGAGTTGAAATGGGTTGTTTGGAATTTCAATTCTATGTCTCTGAAAATGGGTTTCAGATACTATTTTTTATCAAGTGAACCTTGATCGTGGCAAGATGAATAAAAAAAACCTGGCAACTCTTTCTAGATGAGCCTTCTCCAAACTGATACTCCTCTAAGTTTTTAATCAGCTCTAATATCCCAAAGCATCATGATGAAGTAGTCATAATGGCTGCATAAATGGCTGCATATTGGGTAGGCATCAGGCTATAAAAACTTTCTTGTGACAAGAAAAACCTTCCTAAGTGTTGAAGATAATATCCAGCCACTCTCTGTCCACACCCTAAAAATATATATCTCGGATGAAAAATCTTTTTTAAACTTTTCTATTTTCTATTTTTCATTTATTGCTTCTCATAACATCCTTAGTGGTGGAACACTTATGTGACAATTTAAATACCCACTTTTTAATAGTAATACCTGCCAATGTATTTTAGGGTTTTTTTCCCCCTCATGAAATAAAATAGGTGAGATGGTGCCTTTTGGAAAGCATAATTTGTAAATTATCCCTTTGAGAAAGATTGGTTATATAAAGAATGCAATTTAAAGTAGCCATCTCAGGACTCTCTGCTTGAAGCAAAATTAGATATTCAAGCTTTTTTTTTTTTGAGCCTCATTAGTTGAACTCATAAAACCACATCGAATGATAGTCTCATTTAGTCTTAGCTTTCCAAAACCAATAAGACAATTACAGCTGCTTTCCCAGAAAGGGAAGGAAATGCAGAATTTTAACTTATCTGAAAAACTGTGGTCTTTTCTGCTTGCTAAAAACTTGGTCTCTTGAGTCAGGATGGCCTTTTTTTTCAAGGCTGTGCCATTTTCTATCATCTCTTTAGTTAAAATCTACATGAAAGGATGAGATAGGTGATTTACCCATTTCTTCAGTTGATTTAAGACTAAAATACAGACCGAGTCAAGCGTTCTAGGCAAAATAAGCTACATATGATATATTCATAAATCCTGTTTTTTATGTCAAATGTTGTATTTTTATGGGACTCAAGATGCAAGAACCCCTTTGCCTTTTACTCTCAATTTTGAAGTTAGCTGGATAAGTAAAAGTAATCACTAGTCACTGATTTTATTAACTGACTTCCCTAGCATTTCCCTTTCTAATCTCTCTCCCTCACTCTGTTTTTTTTAGATGGGTTTCAGTAGGAGAAAGGAAAATTCATGTCCTGTTCAGCTATATTTAATTTAATTTAATTTAAATTTAATTTAATTTAATTAATTAAATTTATATGTCACCCCTCTCTGAAGACTCAGGGCGACTCACAATACATTTAAAAATCATTCAATCAGTCAAAAGACATTGAAAAATTAAAAACATTAAAAACTCATTCACACCATTCATGGCCGGATCTCGCCATACACTTGAGAGTAATATCTTAAGTTGTTGTATTATTTTTCTTAAAGCCAGAAATACAGATGTTGATAAATTTTTTTCAAGCATTTTCTCAAGCTTGATGGTGACAATTTAATCCAGAAAATACCATTACATGAGTGGAACATGATGAAAAAGAATACCTTCAAGAATATATTTTCAACAACTGCACAACAATTGTGACAAGCATTGATCTGTTCATTTGGTCTTATCATCCTTTCAATTGCATTTGCAAGTAACAATGACATATTCAGTGGTAGCTGTTATGGAGTTAAAAGGAATCCAAGGCTTGTGTTTCATTATATAGGTTAAATAATGCAAGTTCCCAATATACTCACAACCATGTGAAAAGTCAGAATATACCTATTGTTTTGGAGGAGACCTCTTCTTTACGTGTACATCACAATAGGAGGACTAAAGACTATTTTCTCTTATCTAATTAATGGATGGCGGTACTAACTGGCTGGATATATTTCCAAATGATGGAAACAAGTATACTTTCCACCATTTAAGACAGATGCTAAACTAATCCCATGTAATTAGTGTCCAACATTTTTAATAGTCCTTTTCTCTGTCCTGATCCTCCCAAGATTCAATTTCATTGGATGACCTCTAGTGATACCGTAGTATTTGGGGAAGGGGAAAATAAATTCTTGTCCAGTTTATCCACAGTATGCATAATTTTGTACATCTCAAATCATGTTCCTTCTAATCTGCTTCCTTTCTAGATTAAAAAGTCCCAAGTGTCACAACCTTTCTTCATAGGGAAGTTGCTCCAGCCCTTTGACCATCTTATTGCCATCCTCTGAACCTTCTCCAGTACTACTTCATATGACTATTACAAGAGCTGTTTGAAGTTCAAATGCTAAATTATCTTATAGGGCAGTTTTGTGAATTAGATTACTTTTGTCTAAACTGGAAGCAGATGTGTATTTAGAAAGTAACGATTTATCATTTTAAACTATCATTGAAAAATCAGAAAAGCATCACAAAATATTATTTCACATAGCTGAAAAAAAACCTCTATGCCATCTTATCACGTTTCCTAAGTTTAGCACTATTAAGTATTAACAAACCTGGATATATAGTTCAGATCCTACAAAGACTGTAATATATAATGCACACTTGTTCAGCTTTGGAAATCTCGTCTATTTATATAATAAATTACACCTGGCTGCAGTTTGGGAAAGAGAATGGCAAGAGGAAGTTTTCAGGATGAAACAATATATTGAGTGGAGATTTCCCCCCCCCCCCCCACCATATCTTTTCAAAGATAAACATTCACTAATTCTTAATAAACCATTTCAAATGAAATTGTTGAGAGTTTGTTTAGTTACTATTTATGAACTGGTTCCACCTTTTAATTTTTTTAATCTGGAAAAAGACACATATCTGTACACATTTTAAATAATGAAAAAATAAAAGTTGAATAATTGATCATAAGTATTTATGGGATTGTATTAAATATATTTTATACTTTTTATTTAGGGATACAGAATACAAAGGACTTCAACTCTCCCTTGATCAGGTTTCGGCTACAAAACCGGCGTTCCCATATGCAAACTCTATTCCAACTATAACTGACAATAGAAAAGGAAGCAAATCACGTCTCTCTGGCACAAAGTCCAAATCTAGGACATCACCTTATCCACAGGTAAGAGCAACTTTGATTTCATAAGCTTAGAAAAGATTCTTGAGTTCCCTTTTGAAATGTTTTGCAATGAAGCATAACTGTATAATTGTTGGTAGAGGTTTAGTCTATGTTGTCACTGGGCAACATATTTGCACCAAGGGAATGTCCAAGGAAATGTAAACAGCATCAGGATTTTAATTACTACAGATCTAATGTTGGAAGCTATTTCATATTACTTTGAAGACATACCATAAATCTTATAACACACACAATTTCAAACGCTCATCAATAACCCATATAGAGTTATTAAAGGAAAAATACAAAGTTAAATTTGATTTCTGTTGGAAATTCTAGGCTTTTGTGCATTCACCTATGTAACTCACAAGATTCCATTCAATCTAAATTGGCATTCTGTGACTTCGATCTTCGATATTGTTGCCAATCCTAAATGATTAGGTTGGTCTTCCCTAATTTAATACCTCTAAATATATTGCTCAATTCTCACTATTCCCAGCAAGTATAAACAGTAACTATGCTGCTTGGACACAATGGGAATTGTAGTCCAATTTATATGGAGGGATACAAGTTTAGTAAAAGGTGAGGATACCTGGGATAAAAATGGAAACCCTACATTAAGGGAGGAAAAGTCAATTAAAATGTAAACAAGAAGTTCTGTAATTTATGAGTTTGCTTTTCAAGTTTTGATGCAGCCTTAATTTAGGTACATTATAGAATTATATAACTTTGACACTAGAGATAACTCTATTTACATCAGGCCATCCTTACTTTCATAAATATTATATGCCTACATAATTTTGATTATCTGCTTTGAATGAGATCCCTGGACTGATTTTTTTCTATGATCCAATTTTTTGTTTTCTTGGTTATCCAGTGCATTAAGAGTCTTCTGCAATGCTAAGTTTAAAAGTGTCAATATTTCTAAACTGCTTCTTCAAAGTCCAACTTAGAATGTCACAGAAAAAAACATTAACTGTAGGTATAGAGATGTCATGGCATTTTATCCATATTCTTAGCTATTATGGTATTCTGCCAAGTGCTGATTTGTGGCATATTTCTTGACTGCTAGCTATTTTACTGTTCACTGATTCTAAAAGGTAGGAACTATCCACTATTTCATTGTAGTGATATACAGTATCTCTGTTTGCATATTTTGTTCTTCTTTATGTATAATCTTAATCCCATTTTCCCCATATATTTTTTTTTGCTCATCGATTTTTCCTCACTAGAGCTTGCAGTTTATTTGCATTTTCATCTCTCAGTATGTCATAAGTATGGTGCAAGTGATTGGTATTTCTTCCCTAAAGTTTAAAACCGCATTTTTCTTCTAAAGCAGCCTCTCTCAATATTGTCAAACAGGAACCAGTCATTTTGGCAGGTTTAAATTTTTTTGTGGCTTCTTGTCCTATGTTAGATTTTGTAAGAGTGCAAGAAATTGTTCTGAATTCCTATTTTCCTAAGAACATTCTCTAGCTTGCCATGGTTGGCATAATCAAATAATTTTCTATAATCAATGAAGTACATACTGACTTCATTTTTATATTGTTTGGCTTTCTCAAGTACCCAATATACATCAGCAATAATATTTCTTGTACCTCAGCTTTTTCTAAAGCCATCTTGAATATCTGGCATCCCCTTCCCATGAAGAGTTTTGGATGATCTAATCAATCTTTTTCTAGCCTGTAAGCCTACATAATTATGAATATTCATTGCAATGTTGTGTTAATGTTTCTTTTTAAGTTAAAGGCATACAAGGCACTCAGCTCATAACTACATTATATCATTTTTCTAGAGCCATGTCCTAAATATTACCATCACTGTCATCAAATCAAACTTCTACTTTTCTAAGCATAATCTTGGTAAAAGAATGCAGTGCAACAAACCTAATCTACTGTAAATCTTTCATTTCATTGTTTATGTGGATTGTCATTCTTTGTAAGGGCCCTTAAAAAGAACCCCTAGTACATACATAAATGAATACACTCTGAAGTAAGCAAAGGGAAGTTGATCCATATTCTCAAGCACTGATATAGTTCATTTACTTACAGCAAGGGTGGGAAACTACGGCCACTTTATGATTTGTGGACTTCAGCTCCAGCCATGCTGGTTCAGGAATTCTAGGAGTTGAAGTTATAAAGGGGCCATAGTCCCCCACCTCTGGTTTTCAGCATGGAATATATTTTCCTCCTTTGAAAAGAGTTGGAAAGTAGCACAAGTTTTTTTTTTATTTATTATGAAGTGAAAAGATACAAAACATGAGAAAGTGTTCATTTTTTTAAAAAAAATATTGACACCCCATCCCCAACAAAATCAATCCTATTCATAAATTAAAGTTTCAAGCAGAACCTAAATATTATTTAATTCAATTGATAGAACTTGGCTTCTTTCTGTTTAATAAGATGTAACTAATAAGATGTTTATTGCTGGGCTATGTATCATTTCCTATCCTTACAAAGGGACCAAATAAATTTTGAATCCATTTATTCTAAATTCCTGAAACCTTATTTATTCGACACAGATAATAGAGCAATAACATTAATAAGAAGCATTGTTTATCATGAGCTCCTGAGTTTTATTTTTATTGCAATGATCACATCATGAAAAGTATGATTTCTATAGTAAAACATTTGGTTTGCATTAGATTCAACCTGTTGAGCAACATCCCTAATTCAAGTGTATCACTTTTATTAAACTTGGTTTAGTCGCAGTTTTGAGTGTTGTTTGCATGAATAAAACTAAGTTTATCAAGGACAATTACTGCACTGGTTATAAACATCACTAAAATAATGTGTTTGTTTTTTAATAGCTATTGATATTTAATTAATACTGAAAGTTTGTTTTTATTTTGGTTATTTTTGTTAGTAGCAAAGAGAAGAGAAATATTTTAAATAAAACCAAATCATACTGAATCATGTTTCTTTAATGATACATTATCTAATTTATTCAATCTATTAATTAAATAGATTGAATAAACTATTTAATGTCTTAGTTAGAATATTATACATCAAACTTTGCAAATTTGAAAGTGAAAGGAAACTTTTAAAAGTTCTAAAGTAGATTCAAAACTGGTACAGAATCACCATTAGTAGAGGTTATTTTAATGGTTATGCTGCATTACTTTAACCGAAGCCTTCCACCATCTGTTCTGCCTATAACAGAAGACCATACTTTATATTTCAGGGTTAGATTAGTTAAAAAGGCAAGATAAAAGTGATTTAAAAGCACACATATGTTCTCTGTGTAAAGTAGATTGCATCTGTGATCTCCTACTTGTTTAATCAAGAAGGAAGTTGCAGATGCTCAGTGCAACAGACGTTTTTGATGGCTGGAGAGATTTTGGTATAAAAGGATTCTCTTTGTATAACCAGACATGTTTTGGGAGGTGAGATAAAGATTGATAACTGTTTATCTATCAAGAGCTGGAGGAATAGCAATAGATAGTGCAAATTTCGCTATCAGTGAACACCAATATCTGAAATAGGCTGGTGCTTAGTAGCTTAATAAATTCTGGCATACCGTAGTTGATACTTAATTATCTAAGCTAAAAATCTCCTGCATGCCATCTATTTTTTCAAGTCTTTCTTCATTAACCTACATATTATATTTCCTTAATTATCAATTTATATAGTCACCCATCTCAGTAATACGATGCTGGGCAGTATGCAACAAAGCAAACAATTAAAACAAATCTTAAATAATCAGTAAAACAATTACTGTGAATTATAAATAAAACCACAGGAGAATGCACCAAAACCCCATATATAATACAACAATCTAGTAGGCTCCCTATTACTATGATGTGCTAAAAAGAACACATTTCAAGAGTTTGCTGGAAGAACAATAGGATCAGGGCTAATTTAGCATACAGAACCCATCATATATCCCTCCTTGATGAGACAGGTACAGGTAGGTGTAATTGGGAGAGGCATTCCTTCAAATAACCTTGCTCCATGTCATTTAAGGCTTTAAAGGTTAGAACCAGCACCTTGGAACCTGAGAACAAATTAGCAACCCGTACAGTTCACTGAACAGAAGTTTAACATGTGCCATTCTAGAGTCATACATAACTGCTCATGTCACTGCATATTGCTTCAGATGAAGCTTCTTGATACTTTTCAAGGGCAGTACCATGAGGAGGATGTTGGGAGGTGACAGGGCACAAGTAACTATCCCAAAATTTGGGGGGGAAGAGCCAGTTTTTAAGTAGTATCTGGAAAGCTAAATGGGTAAAGGTCTGTCAAATCTCAGACAGGAGATCCATATGGCAGGGCTTCAATGGAAAAGGCTCATTTCCAAGGAACCACAAGATGTCAATGTTTAAGGGGAAGGGACCCGGAGTGTGTCCCCTATATCCATTCTGACCTCAGGAAGTGGCAGTCCTGCAGTTAACTTGGTCCCATGCCATGTAGGGCTTTAAAGGTAATAATCAGCACCTTAAATTGAACCCAGAAAAAAATAGGGGGGAAGGGGGGCAATGCATCTCACTCAACAGAGCCGTAATATGGGCAAATTTGGGGATAATGAACACTGTGTGTGTCACAGTAATTTATGCATGAACATTTATATGACCACTCAACTCACCTTCAGTGACTCTGTGTAGCTTACAATAAAAACCTAGTATAAAACAATAAATATCAATAACCCCTCAACCCACTAGTGTCAATAATGAAACGAACTTTTTTTTTTTTTTAATTTGATTTATATGCCGCCCTTCTCCAGAGACTCAGGGCGGCTTACAATGTGCTCAGCAATAGCCTTCATCCTTTTGTATATTTATACAAAGTCAGCTTATTGCCCCCACAACTGGGTCCTTTAATAGGCTGTATCCCATTCTGGGGTTTCCAGGTCTGGCAAAACCAGGTCTTCAAGTCCTTGTGAAAGAGTGTGGGAGCCAATCTTATCTCCATGCAGATGATGTTCCACAGGGAGGGAACTACCCTAAGAAGACTCTTCTTCTTGGTCCTGCAAGATGGACCTCCTTAGGAGAGAAGACCCATAGCATT